AGCAGGAAAAAGCACTCACCCCAGGGAATGCAATTTTAGGGGAGCTGGATCCCACACAGACGCACACACGCATTTTGCCCACTATTGCTTTGGGCCCGGAAGAGAGGCTACCTGGCAAGGCTGGGGGAACCCTCTAGTGGGCCTTCGTCAGCAGCCTCGGGTTTGGGGTCCGGCAGGGGGATGATATAGTCATTGTCACCCTCGTTGGGCTGCACAGCAGTGTAGAGGACGGAGCTGGTGTCCAGAGGTGATCGGGGACCGTGGAACCCGGGCAGGCGGGCTTGGGACCGCAGGATGGCTGGGTGGTCACTCCTCAGAAACTCCTCATCCACCTGCTGGTACTTCTGCTCAGGGGACAGAGAAACAGAGACACGTGGTGATGGTCAGCTTGGAAATGTCTGTAGGGGCCACCTGTCCCAGCCTCTCCCCCTTGAAATAAATAAGGTGACCAGTGTGCAGAGAGGAAGGGGTTTACCCAAAGCCTCACAGCTCAGCTGAGCTGCCCTCGCACCTAGCCTCACCCCGAGAGGAGCAGGCAATCTGTGGACCTCTCTTCCTGCTTTAGAGTAGACGGGCTCCCATCCTTGAGCTCCCTTGCTATAAAATGTGATGACCCACACCACCTCCCTGGTCCCTGGGACCACCCCATTGGCGAGGGGTGGGTGTTGGGTGAGAAGTGGACCAGGCAGAGCTGTCTGTGCCTACGGGGGTATGCATCTCTGCTCTCTGGCTCCTGTTGCTGGGCAGGCCAGGGCTCAGTGCCCTGGTGGCTACTTATGCGCCTTCAGTGGGCGTGCACCGGGGCCCGAGGTGGTCACAAAGGCCGTTGGTGGTCACAAAGGCTGAGGATGTTCACACTGTGCAAGGAGCCCCAGACTTGGCATGAGTGCAAAGGCCTGAGGAGGCTGCAGGACAGCCAGGGCAGTAGGTCCCCTCCCCGTGTCAGATCACCCGGCTTCCACATCTGTGCTACCAGCGTAAAGTAGGCTCATCGCTCCAGTTCATTGCTTTCTAACTGCAGCAGGGAAACGGAGGCTCACACCAGGTGCACAGTGGTTCTTCCAAATACCAGTACATCACACAGAGCCTTGTGCAAGTGTCTGACTTCTGGGCCAGAGTGCTCTGTTCCCCTGCCCGCCCTGCCTCAACATACCTTTTTGTAACCCTCACCAAGCAGCCTCTCGAGAAGCAGCACCAACTGGGAGAAGGGCGGCCGAATCTCGAACTTCTCTTCCCAGCACTTTTGCATGATCTCGTAGCTGAGGAGGGGGCAGGAGGGGTCAGGGTTTCCGGCCCAGGGGGCAGGGGCAAGGCTGGGCTGGGGGAGCTGAGGCTGCCGTCTCTCAGGACAAGGTGGACAATGGAAAGGAGACGGGAGGAGTGTGATCAGGCGCTGTGCTCTCTCTGGATGTGCCCATGGGAGGCTCTCTCAGCTCCCCCAGTCTATGAGGTTCCTGGGAGACCATGCCTTGGTGACCACACGGCCCAGTTTGCATCCTCTCAGCTCAGTGATTGCATCTAGGTGGTGCAAACCTGTAACCAAGGCTGAGCAGCTGAACTGTCATCAGTTCCAGGCCTTGAGCTGGAACTTGGGTGCAAGCAATGGGCTAGGCTGCTGGCAGCCACGTGGGCAGTGCCCGCCTGGAAACAAGGCTGGGCAGAGGAAAGCAGCACCCAGGGGCGGAACAGGAGATTCCCTGCTGACGTCATCTGAACACCCAGGCCCAGTTATACCTAGACTTCTCTCCACCTCGGAGCCAGGAAGTCTCTCTACCTGAGTTTAAGCAGAGAGGACTGGGAGTCTATTGTTTGTACCCACAAAATCTTCCCAAATGCACGAGCCCCACTCACATCTCGTCGGAGGCGTGGGCAGGCTGGGCCATGCGGTAACCCCGCTTGATGGCGTTGTAGAACTGCTCATTCATGGGCAGCTCTGGGTAAGGGGTGCCACCTGTGGGGGAGCAGAGATGAGGGATACCAGAGGTTTAGGGCGTGGCAAAACAGCAGCGGGCTACCCTCTTCTACAGGACAGGGAGAGGCGTGCTGGCCTGGCATGGGTGCAGGTGCAATGTCCTTGGCATTGGGAAAGATGGGCCCCTAACACAGACTGTAGCCCCCCAGGTCCCCAAGACAGAGCTCCAGAGAACCCAGAGCTAAGCTGGCCTCCTTTTTTTTTTTTTTTAATTTTTTTAATATTGCCAGAGAGCACATGCACTTACTAGAAAGGAAGATAGCGCCCCTCTTTGAAGCATGGTCACACATTGCAATCCCCCTTCCTCCATCCCTCCTTCCCATCAGCATTTTGGGTACATTCACACACATACACACCTGCCGTGTTTTCCAAGGCCAGGACTCGAACCACATTCAGTCATGTGGGATCTGGCTCCCTATGCATAGTGCTTAACCACTGCACTACAGGGCCAGCCCCCAAGCAGGCTTTGTCATGCCACTGTCCAAACCCTTCAATACTCAGATGGAGAATAAAGAAACCCAGAAAGGGCGAGGGTCTTTCCCAAGTCACACAGCAGGAAGAAAGGAATTGGGGCTTGAGCAGAGTCCCTAAGCCCTGGCCAGTGCTTGTCCACAGCCCCCTGGGCTGGAGGCCTGAGTGCAGTGCTCAGGGGCGACCACAGGCCATGCTGCTGAGAGCTGGGGAGAAGCAAGCATACCCAGGGTGAAGATCTCCCAGAGCAGGATGCCGAAGGACCACACATCGCTCAGTGTGGTGTAGAGGCTGTTGAAGATGCTCTCAGGGGCCATCCACTTCAGGGGCAGGAAGGTCTGTAGGGAGGCAGGACAGGTGCTGAGTGTGAGGGGAACACAAGGGGCCAGGGCCCAGCCCACTCTGCACCCAGGCCAGGACTGCTCGGGAGGCCTGTTCTCTGCAGCTCACAGCGCCTGTGTGGTCCCAGTGCTGGGCAGAGATCAGGAGGCTGCCGCTTTTCTCACTCCATCCCTGAGAAGAAGCCCCAGGGTCTGAGTAGAAGTTGGGGGATTTAGGGCCACGCTGAGATGCCACCCAGCTCTCATTTGATCCCTAGGGCTTGGTGGTGTCCTTCCTCCTGGGGCTCAGTGGAAAGTGGGAGATGAGTGGGAGGAAAGATGGTCACTTTGTAACCAAACCAATCTCAGCTACAGCCGATGACCTCTCTGCTGTCTTACTTGTCACCTGGGCTTCTTTCTCTGCCCACTGCTGCTGGATCAGCACCCCGTTCCCGGCCACCGCCGGGCCCATTGCCTCTGGTCCCATGGCCCAGCTGTGACAATGGCATGCCTGCTTCCTGCCATTCCGTGCTCAGCAGGGTGCTCCCCTTCCTCTCTTGCTCACACAGCGGCCAGGCACAGGCCACGAGGAGCCCCACGCTGCTCTCCTCTACGCCCGGCCCTGCCCATGAGGAAATCCTTCCCGGGGTCAGAGGCACACGGCCACAGCCCTGGAGGCTGGGAAGGTACTTACGCTGCCTTTGGAGATGTAGTTCGAGTCCCGCATGATGTCTCGAGCCAGGCCAAAGTCACAAATCTTGACCAGCTTGCCCTCACAGATGAGCACGTTCCTGGCTGCCAGGTCTCGGTGGACGCACTGGGTTGGGAGAGCAAGGAGTTGAGGCCTCGGGGGCCATGAGGAGAATGACCCTTCAAGTCGAGGAAGGGCTTTGGGAAACGCATCATTGCCCGGGTGTGAGGCCACAGGCGTGAGGGCACATGCTGTCCTCACTCACTGGGGGACTGTGCTCTTGAGGGACTCTGGCTAGTGGCCGGGCCCCCCCCATGGCCCCCATCCTGCCCCACCATGACATACGTTTTTGGAGGCCAGGAACTCCATGCCATTGGCCACCTGATAGCTGAAGCCCACGAGGTCTGTGTAGCTCAACACTGGAGACTCGTTGATTAGAGTGGTCCGGTAGGTCCTCTCAGGAGCTAGGTGAGAGCAGACGGTCACTCGTCATACCGTGTCTCCCCACGGCCCACGGGACTCCTGCTCTTTGGCTTGTAGGAGGCTGAATGTTTCCCAAAAGTGGTGCTGATCCTCTCGGTGGCCCCCAAAAGCAGAGCACCTTCCTGAAAGCTAACTCGAAGCTCTCCTAGTTTAGCAGTGCCCTCACCAGCCAGAAACACTTCCGGCATTAGCCCTTGGGTCACCTTTGCCCATCTAGGGACACTGGCCCAGCCTGAGGCCAGCTCTGAGCAGCCCTCTTTTCCCCAGGGCCCCCAGAGGCCAGGTATGCGCAGGCCACACCCAGCTCCTCCCCCGCGAGGGTGGGTCAGGCTCAGGGATTCTGACTGGGGCTCCACTGCACGGCAGCTTTGGGCTGTTTCCACATCTACACATGGGCACCGGCCACCCTCCTTCCAGAGTGGCTGCGAGGCTGGGCATGTGAGAAGTCTGAGAACGCACCACCGCACAGGCGTGACCTGGGCAGTGTGAGGACGCAGTGTCCACTCACCGGAGGGCACGTAGTTGTCGTAAGGAGCCATGTGGCCGGAGGACTCGATGTCTGCATAGCTCACGTCCCCCTTCATGTCCAGCATGGGCACGTAGTCCACTGACTCGTCCTTGCTCATGTCCATGTAGCCACCGTCGCTCTCCCCAGTCAAGGACACATGGCTGGGCACACCAGAGCACCGAGGTGAGGCCGTGGGCTTCCCCTTCCCTCCCCCTCCTGCCCTTACATGCCCGGGACCCTGACAGGCCATCACGCATGGGTTTCCTCACTCACCCACTCACTCACTCATCCTGCAGTCTGTCACAACAAGGGTGACCATGAGTGCTGCCCTTTCAACAGAGCTATGTAGCCTCAAGCTGACCACTGGCACAGCCAGGATGACATAAGACCCAGTGTGTCCTCAGAGAGCTCCTGCCCAGACACAATCACAGAGCCCCAGGACAAAGGTCACAGAGGGGAGTGTGCAAAGGTGCCTTCCCATGGCCTCTCGAGCACCACCCGGCCTTGACGCCACACCGGTCCAGGCAGCCAGCAAGGGCCTTAACACTGCACACAGCCTCAGCTCCCGAAGGGCTGCGGGGCTGCACCTACATGTGTCTCTGGGGGAGGGAAGAGACGGGATGGAGCTAGCCGGAAGCTGGGGAGGACGGGCATGAGTTTTAATGCCTTCTGTACGCTTTCCTGAACTTACGCTTGCCTTTGCTCTTACAATCAGCAAAAGAACTGAGACCTGACTTTTGCTGGAAAGGAGGAAAGCATTGCACTGTCGGGGAGCCCCAGGAGGCTGGAGAGTGCAGGGGACAGGGGCGCTCCAGCCAGGAGCAGGGTGTAGAGTGCTGCTGCCCCCTACATGACTAGGACAGGACAGCAAGACACCCACAACACCCGGATGGTCACTTCTGCAGATGGCCTAGCACCAGCAGGACACACGGGGCAGGGGGTGGCTGACCACTGTCACCACCTCCACTGTCACCATTACTATTATTCCCTCTCCTGGGGAAGTCTGACCTGCGAAATGGCCCTGGTTCCCGGAGTGGCTGCCCGCACCTCCCACAGCCTCAGCTTTCCCTCCCGGACAGGGGGCAGTGAGCTGGGGCTCCTCGGTGCCCCTGATCCAGTCTCCAGCCTTCGACCAGTACCTGGGCAGGGGGATCCCGGCAGGCGGGGCGTTGCTGTAGAGCTCGCTGCTGGGCGGGCGGCGCTTGTCGGAGCGGTGCTGCAGGAAGGTGTGCTTGTTGCGGTGCAGGTAGTCCACCAGGTCGCCATAGCGGCAGTACTCGGTGATGATGTAGATAGGTCCTGTGTAGAGGCACAGGCTCAGGGCAGGCCCAGGGAGGCCTTGAGCTTCCCAGCGGGGCTAAGGTGCTACGGAGCCAGTGGCACGTGGGAGAGGCAGTTTGGTTTAGTGGCTAGGAATATTCGGCACCAGGCAAACCTGGTTCTTCTCCTGCCTTTGTGATGTGAGCCAGGTCCTCAGCTTCCCTGAGCCTGGCTCTCTCCACCTCTTAGTGGGGTCCATCACATCCACCTGAAAGGCTAGCCTGAGGAGGCACGAGACAATGGCTCTCAGCAAGCACACAGCACTGGCTACTACCGACCGACCAACCATTAGAGGTTTTCGCCTTAGGGTACGTGTGCTTGCCAGAGAGCAAGACAGACACACGAGAGGGAAAGTGACGATTCACTCCCCAGGGGGATGGCCACACTGCAATCCCTTCTCCTCCATTCTCCTCCCACAATCTTGGGCATGCACACACACGTGCCAGTGTGAATTTCCAGCCACCAGATCCGGGACTTGAACCACCGTCAGACTTTTGGGAATCCAGTGACATAACTGCTACGCCATCTGCTGGTCCCCTGACATGTTTTTAAACTAAAGCTTATTTCAGAGTCCAGGATATAAAGCAGATACAGGCAACTGCTTGTCATGATCAGCTTGCTGCTTATGTTCAAATACAACACATTTCCTTAACGCCCATCAGTGGGAACTTGAAGACACAGACAAGGTCTAAAATAAGTGACGGCCGCAAACACTGGCCTGTGTATGCCACGTACTTCTGTATTTTGTTAGGGTTGCACAATCCTGAGGAAACTCCTGGATCTCACAATAAACAGCTGCAAATGGCAATAACACTTTGTGGAAGCCTAACTTGCCACCAGAGGCTCAAACAATTGGCCGAAGAGTTTTTCTTCTGACCTAAATGAGAGCAGCTCCCAGTGAGCGTGCTGATGGCATCTTGCATGGGTAGGTACCTCATCTCAGTGTCATGTGTGCTGCTGTTCATGACAGTTTCCAAAGGGTATTGTGACTATTTAAAAAAAATCAGGGGCCAGCAGATGGCATAATGGATTCCCACATGGTTGACTGAGGTTCGAATCCCGGACCTGCCATCTTAAATCTCATGCCGGACACATGTACATGCGAACCTGAAATCCCAAGAGGGGAATGGCAGGCTGGGGGAGATGGACTTGTGGTGTGGCTACTCCCCCTGGGGGGGGATTTCTTGCTTTCTGTCTCTCTGGCAAGCACACAAGCCCTATAGCAAAAATCTCTCTCTAAAATATATATATGTATGTGTGTGTGTGTGTGTGTGTGTGTGTGTGTGTGTGTGTGTTAAAGACATCTCAGTTCAGGAACTGTGGGCACAGGTAGAGTCCTCTGGCTGTGAAGGTGTGATGTGAGGAGTTTCTCAATCCTGCAGCCTGTGTGGCTGAAAAGAGAGGGTGCTGGAGTGGGTGGGGCGGACCTTCTGCCAGAACATCCTGCTGTCCCTAAGGACAAAGTAGGAAGGGCCCACAGGCATTTCCCAGTGTCCGCCAGAGTCATCCGGTACCTCCTTTGGTGCAGGCCCCCAGCAGGTTGACCACGTTCAGGTGCGGCCCGAGGTGACTCATGATCTTCAGCTCCGACATGAGGGCTTGCTTCTCGCTGCTGCGGGCTGTGGCTGAAGGAGAAGGGGCCTCAGGCCAGGCCTAGTCACTGAGGCCAATGAAGGCCCTGGCAGAGCCTATGCTAGCTCTTCTGCCCCTCCCTGAGCTGCAAGACCCAGGTGTCCTTGGAGTGTGAGGACCCAAACTCTGGGGATGACGGGAGGAAGGGAGGGGAGGGAGGCGGCGGGGCACGGAGGCCAGGGCGAGGGACCTTCTTTCCCAGGCCAGAAGCAGTGATGCCTGCCGCGGTGTGAACTGGGGTCTGCACGTCACAGTTAGGCTGCTCCGGGAGAAGGCAGAGTGTGGGGAGTGGGCAAGGAGAGCTGGGCCGGGGTGGGGACAGCAGGGGCTCCAAGTACTCACACTTCAGCATCTTGACAGCCACTTTCATCGTAGCCTGCGAATGGCTCAGGCCGTGAGCTGTGGCCTCCACCACCTGTCCAAAGGCCCCCGAGCCGAGGGTGCGTCCTGGGGCAGAGAGGAGTCCTCAGTTCCTGGCTTACAGGAGCTGTATCCTCTCCCTGCCCACCCAAGGGCGGGGAAGAGCTGATCTCTGAGGTCAACCTAGACACTCTTAAATCACTTTGGACTTCATGTGTTGGCCCGAAGGAGGTGCCTAGAACGGCAACGCTTCCCCAGCCTTCCTGGTATCTCATCCAAGCCCGCCTGCTTTCTACCCCATCTTCAGTCCCTAGAAGGCTCCCTCCTTCCCCGGGGACACCGCTCCTTGGCACCCCCTCAGCTTGCCCAGCTAACTACGCATAGGCCTGCCACTCAGCCAGGCCCCAGTACTTGCTCTCTTGTCATGAAGGGGTCTCATCTCACGGTCACAGGCTCATAGGACCTCAGGGCCAGGCTTCCCTGCCTCCATGCTGGGCATCTCCCAGGTTGCCATTATATAGACTGGGAGACTGAGGGCAGAGAAGACAGGCCATGGGCCCTAGGAATCCTGGCTTGTGACCAGGCTGGGACCAGACCTCAGAGTCTTCCCTGCCCTGGGACCAGCTTGTGCCCCAAGGCCCCACACTGCCGCAGACTAACCCAGCACAAGCTGGTCCCGTGGCAGCTCCCACGTGGAGTCGTAGGGCAGCTGCATGGGGTCCACGTAGATGTACTCATGGCCGTCAGAGCTCACAGACTCGATCACCTTCCACCGGATCTCATAGCGCGGCTTCTGTAGGACCGAGACCGGGAATGGAGCGTCAGAGGGGGTCTTTGGCCTCAAGGGCCACGAGGTTCAACTCCTTAAAGGCAAGATGGAGCAGGAGACCCTGAGGTCCAGAGAGGGCAGGGCAGGTGGTCAGCTGAGCCAAAGTCTTAATGGGGTCAGGGGAACAGGCACCAGGGGCCCAGCTGGGGGTGGCCAGGAGCTTTCAGGATGGAGCAGGCTGAGGAGTAGCGGGCGGCCGAGGGCCTGGGTCCTCAGAACCTCTTCCCTAGCTTCTCTCAGGACCTCAGCAGCTCACAGATGGGAGTAGAGGAGCAGGCAGCCCTGGAGAGTGACCCAGGTAGGGGCTGGATGAGGACAGCGCCTCCCTATCCTGTGTCAGCCACTGTGGGAATCTCAGAGCGATGGAACCTTAGAATGCAGCAATCATGGGATGTGCGAATCACAGGATTGGAATCTCAGAATGATGGATGTGGGGTGTTGCAATACGGGAATTTCAGTGCGCTGGTCACAGCATGGTGGTATCTCAGAACAGTCTGAAATTCCCAGTTAGCGGGATCGGAATGCAGCTCAGCATCATGGGGGTCTCCATGGTGAGAGCTGCACAATGCTGGAGACCACGCAGTCTGTCCCAAATGTTCCATGCCCTGTGACTAGGATGAGCAGGGATAATGTCCAAAAAGGACCTGGCGCTTGGGGCCTAGCAGGACAGAGAATCCTAGAGAGCTTAGACCAGGCCCACATTGGCCCAGGCCACTGGGGTGGAGGCAGCTGGGTCTCCCAGAGTCATTCCCCCTGCATTCTCATCTGGGCCCACGTGTAGCTAGATCATGCAGCATTCAGGTGGGAGCATGTGAAAAACGACGTGCCAGTCTGCGGTCAGCCATAGGCCAGGGCGGGGCTCACCTTCTGCCAAAGCATGATGAGGATGATGAGGGAGATGATCGTGAGGACCACCAAGGCCAGGATGGCTGAGATCACCACCACCTTGAGGGGCAGGGCTAGAGGCAGAGACAGGAGCAGGCCATGAGCAAACAGCACCTGCAGCTGCCCTGCCCTTGACCCACCTCTGTGCCTAGAGCCCCCTTTTCCTCTAGGCCTCCCCCCCAGAGCGGCAGTCCCAAGTGGGATTGCTCAGTTCCTTATCTGCCTGTCTCTGGACTGTGAGCATGAGGAGGACAGAAGGGTGCTTTGTGGCCTCTACCTTCCAGTGAGAAGGTGGGTCCCCATAACTAGTCATTGAGCAAGAAGCAGATGAATACATGAAGCCTATGCATGGCATGCACGCATGGAACAGGCTGTGAGGTATGCATGAACATCCGGGCACTGGCAGCCACTGCTCATATGTACAAAGATTACACATGTCTGTGTACCTGCTAACATACACACCTTGTCCATCAGGCACACGAGGAGACTTCATAAAGTTCATGGAAAAATGGAACTAAAGTATGAGTTTATTTTCATGCCAAACTCTTCAAATCCATGTGTAGTTTTTTGGTAGTGAACATTTCCATGAACTTGTTGAAGACCCTGTGTATGTGCAAGGAATTGAACTTGCACTTTTCCAGAAAGACGTGCTGCAATGACATGCTTACAGACATGTGTGCCAGTCTGCACACATGCACAAGAACTAAACATATGGACCAGCTACATGGCTTGGTGGGTAATGCAGCCAAATTCCACAGAGCCAACCAGGGACTTCGAGTCTTGGACCCAGAGACTTAAGAAACGCACCAGGTACGTATGCACGTGTGCCCAATTCCCACAGGGAGGGAGAGGTGGAGGAGAGGGAATTGCAGCGTGACCATTCCCCATGGGAGTGCTTCCTTCTCTCCGCCCTGTTTCTGTCTTTCACTGGTGAGCACGTGTGCTCTCTAGCACACACAAGGAGAACAACTAGCCATGCATTATTGGTGCACATGTCTGAGGATCGTGTGGCCTCGTGTACGTGGGTACAGACACACACTCTGTGGTTTTATACTCATTCCTGGGGATTTGGTTGTTCACACAAATGGCTTACAGACATACACCTGGTGGGTTTAAACACATGGATGGGCATTGTGGATGCCTGAGTGCATGCCTACAGACACTTGAGCTTTATGGTGCACCTGAGGACACAGTGGCCATTCTTAGGTACATGGTTTCCAAATCTACACTCGAGGGTTTGCATCTGTGTCTGAGGGTCAGGCATGCTCACATCATGGCTTACGTCATACCTACAATTTATGTACACTCCACATAAGGAAACAGTCCTCTTCGCATCGATGGTTCCTAGACCTGTGCTTGTGCACATGTGTTCACACCGTGTGTTGTGTACGTATAGCGGAACACATTTTCACTGTACTCTCGTGTGCCCATGGGTGTACTGACTCTCTTGGCCTACCTGGGTGTGTGAGCACAGTCCCGTTTGGCAGGGTCAACATGGGAGTGAGGGGTCGTCAGGGACCACTGGGGCTGGGGACTCACAATGCGGCACCACGGTGACCTCCTGTGTGTCCTGGCCAAGGGGGTTGCGCAGCGTGCAGCGCACCGACAGCGGGTGATCCACATGGCGCAGACGCAGCGTGCTCACCACCTCGAACTCCTGTTCCTCTGCCCAGTACGTCACGTTTGTCTCCAGCTGGCTCTCCTCCTCTGAGCCGTTCCCCAGCAGTGTGGGCGGCAGCTCACGGGGACACCTGCCAGGGGAGCAAGAGAGGCTGGCGTCCATTCCCTTCCCTCTGCTGACAGGGAAACTGAGGCCAAAAGCAGACAGCGCCACATAGTGGTGGAGGAAGGAAGCAAGGCTGCTCCAGTTCCTGCTTCCTCCAGCTTCCTATTCTTAAAGGAATTCCCCTGTGGTCCCTCAACTGACCAGCAGGGGAGCTCCCATCCCAGAATAGAGAACCCTGGATTGTAAAATCCACTTCTCTCTTCTCTCCTCTCCTTGGATCCCCAGGTTCACAGAGTGTCAAGAGTAGAGGCAGATCCTGAACTCGACCCTACCTCTGTCCATTACACTAGAATCAGCCCTGGCCAGGGGTGCAAAACAGAATTACTGGGTGAGTGAGGTCTCCAGGACAGAGACCTTGCACTGTGCTGGGCTGAGAACAGCACAGGGGGTCATGGTAAAGAAAGGGGACAATTTAGGACATGAGCAGCATCTCCGCGGAGGTGGATTAGCCTTCTAGGATATCCTGGAGCAACGTGCCAGGAGGAAGAGGCTGGATGAGATGACCTTCACTGAGTCCTCCTAGCCAGTTGTAGGCTCACCTTTTCAGGTCTCTGCAGGTAGACCAGGTGATGTTTGGCTTGGGCATGCCCCGGCCACGACAGCGAACCGTCTGCTCCCCGCTGGCAGGGTGGCTCTCGCTCAGCTCCACCACACGCACAGGGACTGCACGGAGAAAGTACAGGGTTGGGAGGTGGGGAGGTCCCCAAGACAGTCAACAGGGAAGAATGACAGGACCTGCCCCCAGTCTCCCCTTGGATAAGGGGTGGATAAGGGGTGGTCTTGCAGACTGCAGGTGAACATCAAATACCAGGGGTCGGTGGGAGAAGGTGGACTCTCCTTCTGGGTACTTCAAAGGGGAAGTCCCAGCAGGGTGCTAGTCTGCCTTTAACACCTCCCTGAGACTTGCTAATCCCCCTTTAACAAAGAGAAACATGGCCTCAAACTCAGCGCCCTGGACAGCCAAACTCACAAAACTAGAAAGTAACAGCACTGTTTTGTTTCCTGAGTTCATTTTAGAGGTTGTTTTATGACATGTGATGCTGATTTTCCATCTACAGTTGTGAGGTTAAGTTTTGTCTTTCAAAATAATTTATTTTTAGAAAGTCAATTGACAAAACATAAGTCATGACCACATCATTCCTCTCCTCAGAACGCTGCCATGGCTTTTCATTTTAGTCGCGGTAAAGGCCAAAGTCCACACAAGGTCCACAAGGACCTACAGGATGTGTCCCCCGCCCCCCAAACCCTTACTACCCTGTCTCTGCTCTCACCTCGTCTCCCACCACTCCCCACCTCCTGCTGTTCTGGCCATGGCTTTCTGCCATATTCTGGCCTATACACTGCCTGGGGGGCCCTTTCCCCAAATACCCACTGGGCAAATGCTCTCCCGGCCTTTAAGTCTGCATTCTAATCTCACCTCCTCAATAAGACCAAATGCACCACTTGGGCCAGCAGGTGGCATGGAGGTTAAGGTGGCTGGATCCCACATAGCTGACTCTGTGGTTCAAGTCCCAGGCCCAGGAGCTTGAAAAATCACGCCAGGTGTGTTGTGTGTGCATGCCCAAAATCCCAAGAAGAGAATGGAGGAGAGGGGCCTGCAGTGTGACCATCCCATGGGGGGTGGTGATTTCTCACTTTCGCCCTCTGTCTCTCTCCAGTGAGTGCATGCACCCTATAGCAAATAGCAAACAATCTTTAAAAAGCAACCCACACTACCCCACTGCATCCTGCACTCCCAGTCTGCCCTGTCTTGCCTTTTTCTCCCTCCCACAGAACTGACTGCATTCTAACCTGTGTAATTTGCAAGGATTTTTCTTCTGCTGTTTAATGGTTGCCTTCTCCCTCTTAGGACGCAAGCTGCGTAAAGGCAGAGCCTCAAGAATCCTGAATAGATTGACCTGTTATAATTGCTCAATAAATATCTACTGAACTAACAGTACAGTGTAAGTGGTTGTGTAAGAAGGAAAAAGTGTGGGCTTGGTATACAGATGCCTGAGGTTTAAGAAACACCATCTAGCCCAATGACCTCCTTGTACAGCTGGGGAAACGGAGGCCCAGAGAGGGGACACGCTAAGTTCACACAACAGTGCATCAGTGGCCTGGGACTTAGTCTCTTGCATTCCAGGCTCCTTTCCAGCTTCTCCTATGAGTGTGGGTGGACAGTGTGGGAAAGGAGAGGGAATGGGAGCAGGGCCCTCGCAAAAACAAGGAAGTGAGGGGGCAGGAGAGTCTCACCATTGACCTGAAGCAGGAAGGAGAGTTGGACCTCAGCGTCCTCATTGAAGGCCCACATGGTGTAGTGGCCAGCCTCGGCCACCTTCACCCGCACCAATGTCAGTTCTGACACGTACCTAGGGGGCAGGCAGGCCAGGAGACCCCGTCGTCAGAGCTGGAAGAAGCCTGACGGCTCTCCCTGTCCTCCTCGCACAGACAGGAAAACAAGGCCCAGGGAGAGGAAGGGGCTTGCCAAGGTCACGTAAGTGTCAGCAGCAGTGCCAAGACTGCAGCCAGTCTCCTGAATCCTCACCCACAGGCAGTTCTGAGCCAA